GACGCAGTCTGTCATTTGCAGAAATCTCTTGCTTCACTGGAGAATCTCCTGTACCTACCCTATCTGACCTACCACACCTGGTTCTGCCTTAGTTGTGCCTCAGTTGCAGGAGGGGGTTGGTTGTTCTGCCTTTCCTCTGGAGCCATCTTTCCTCTATGACTATCAGAGACCTCAGAACACAGCCCAGTTCTCCTTCACCCTTCTCTGAAGTGGCCATGAGGAACAGGCAGGATGAACCAGGTCGTGATGCCTCTGTGAATGTGCATGCCAGTTGCCATGGTTTTTGCCTTGCTAGGCCTAAACTGCTAGAGGCCATGGTGGAGGCAAACGGATGGAAGGACTTTTAAAAATTTGGGATTCTTCCTCTCCACCCTGACTCTAGTTCAGCGGTTGCTCCTCGGTCACTCCCTCTTTGGCCACAGAGGCTAAAACATGATTAGCAAATGAATTGATCATAACTCTGGTTTTACACCTTTTGCTTTGGTACAAGCTTGTCTTGAGACAGACCTCCCTGGAGCTTAAACTTCAAGAGCAAGTGCAGAAGCGGAAATAAGGAGGGACACATGGGAACATGAGGTGACAGGCTTTTTTTTTTGGCTTTAATCTGTAAAACCTGTTACCCACCAAAATTTCCTCTCTGCAATTGTCAGCAGTATATGGAGTATGCCTGTTCTTTCCCCCTTAGCTTATTATAAGAGAAAAAACAAAAACAAAAACCAAAACCAGAATGTCTCCAGAAACAAGATGACTGCTGTTCTGTGAAACCTCATTACACCATGAGAAAGCTCATTCTTTAAAAAACTAAAAAATATTTTTAAAAAGTCGTCTGGTAAGATGCCTCAGTGGGTATGAAGCCCCAGGACCTGGGTTCTATGCCTTGGAGTCACAGTGTAGAGAGAGAACCAACTTCTAAAAGTTGTTCTCTGACCTAACTACACACACACACACACACACACACACACACACACACAAACTATTTTAAAAATTTTCAGGTGTAGTAGGCCTTACACTTTTAATCCTAGCACTTGGGAGTCAGAGGCAGGTAGATTTCTGCAAGTTTGAGGTTAGCCTCATCTACACATTGAGTTCTATGCAATCCACAGCTACATAGTGAGACCCTGTCTCAAAAATAAATAAATAAAACCACTCTCTTTGTTGCTAACAGACTCCAAGGCCCTCCAACGGCTGGAACCAACACCTGTTCTTTTCTATCAAAACAGCTTCTAGTATTGCTGCAGGTGAGGGCACTTGGGAGTGGGTGTGTGTGCGACCGAGCTTGTGTGTGGCCCAGAGGCAGCATAGCCTGGCTTTGGGAGTCCTGGGTACTTCCTACCCTTTTCATCCACAATTCAAGGTAAGGGCACATTGTGTGACCAAATATGAGGGTCTTAGACATAAGATGAACACACACAGATGATCCCCCACCCCCCACCCCTGGCCTGGTGACCTTGTCATTTAGGCTAGCATTCTACACCCCCAACTTTTGTTGTAGAGAGGCTCTCCTTGGATGTCACAGGAACCACTTGTGTCTTTAACACAGGACTTTATTTTTACAGTCATGACATTTTCCATAAAAATGGCAAAGACTGAGAGGAGAAATATCCAAGCCATAAGAGAGAAGAAGTAAAGCTTAAGAATTTCCTGCTAGGAGGTGAAGTAGAAGTCTGTCTCCTAACCCAACAGGTTCCCAGGAGAGACTTAGCCCTGGGACACTAAGATGGCTGCTGAGAGCCCAGCTGCTGTTTGCCGGAAGCTTCAGTCACAAGCTGGCTTCTCCCTGTGAAGATGGGCAGTCTTCTCTGGGAAGACCCATGGTTGGCTCCCCCAGCTCTCTCCCTTGAGAGGCCAAAGAGCCAAAACTGCTGCCCTACCAAGCAACTTACAAACATAGTGGCTGGAAGGCTGCCATCCAAGGTCCAGTCCAAGAAGGGAACAAAAACCATAGGGGTGTCATGATGGGGGTTCTTGGTTCTTCAGCACACTCTGTGAGTGGCTCTGGATTCTGGAGCCTTCTCTGTGAGACTCCAGGTGAACATTCAAGAAGTTCCCATGCATGAGGTCACAGATGGAACTTGCAGCAGTTCAAAGCAGACGGCTTGAGCAAGGCAGTGGAATTCCCGCCGTAGAATGAAACCCTCTCTCATTTGTCTGGGTCTTGCTTCTTACTGAGCACTGTCCTTTTGTGGCAGGATATTGGCGTTGTGGGCGCTGATCACTTGTGAAACCTGGGAAGCAACAGCAAGTGGTAAGACTCTTATCTTCAGTCTAGGGACACTACATTTCTTGTAGCAGAAGCAAATGGCAGATGGAGGAGGAAGCAGGTGTGCCTGGGGCCGAGAACTTTATGTTACTGTTACAGTGTTTTTTAGGGCCCATCTCTGTCACTAAAAAGATTAAAAAGCAAAAAACAAAGTAACAAAAATGAAAACCAAACTACAACAAAATAACACAAACAAATACAGCTCAAAACCACTCTAGCTTTGGGGTCAATAGGATGGCGCAGTGGGTAAAGGTGCTTGCCCCCAAGTCTGATGATCTGAGTTCAATATCCAGTACCAGTTGTTCTGATCTGCCATTATGCACATGTACACACATGACAAAGAAATGTTTTAAAAAATGTCAAAAGCCCTTAGCTTTGAATGGCGTCACTTATTGAAGCACTTTCTAAGTGCACAGGGGCCCAGAGGTGGGAGGGTACTCTATGACAGGAGAAGGTTGGGAATACCTGCCCAAAATTACAGCTCGGGTTTGCCAATAGCTGATCTGTGAGGCCCAGGAACTGTTGTGACCTGGTCCATAACAGCAAAACTAGAAGGGGCTTTTAAAGGTTTGAAAGCCATAAACCAAATTAACAGGATTAGGAGTTTAAGATGAGCTCAAGTCCAGCCTTTGAGGTCCTGTCTCAAAACACACACAGACACACACACACACACACACACACACACACACACACACACACATTCTCAAGTAAATAAATCCACAAACGTTTTTGTTCAAATCACCTTCTTTCTGGTGTTTTGAAACAGGGTCTCTTTACATATCCTTGAATCTCTATGTAGACCAGGCTGGCAGCCTCAAACACCCAGAGATCTGCTTGCCTCTGCCTCTGCCTTCCAAGTACCAGGATTAAAGGTGTGCACCACCAGGTCTGGATAAACTACTTTTTTTTTTTTTCTTTTTGAGACAAACTGGCTGTGATCTTGGACTTCTGATCCTCTTGCCTCACCTCTCAAGTGCCTGCATTACAGATGTTTGCAACCTTTTCAAGCGGCACATTTTATAAGTAAATATAAAAATAGATCACTTATGTGAGCAGAGCTGCCCTAAGCAAGGAGGAGGGCTCAACACACACACACATACACACACACACACACACACACACACACACACAAAAGCACACGCACGCACATGCGCGCACACACACACACAACCTGTGCATGCTCCCTGCCTCACTGGTCCACAGAATTCCTGGTTGCCAAATTTCAGGGTCCCATCTCCAGCTTCTTCAAAAATGGCACTATCAGGTTCAGTGGGGAGGAGGTGACAATGAATGGGCAAGCTGGGACGCATCATAGGGAGTGCCAGCATTAGACTGGCTTTCTACAAAAAGCCACAAAGAGGGACTTTTTGCACAGAACTCTCTGTAGGTCTAGTCTTAGAAGCTCTCAAGTTGTGGTTCTTGTCTGTCAGGTGAAGGTGGTTTCTAATTCCAGTCCACAAAGAAGAACTTGCTCACCATCTAAACTAGAATTTCAAATGGCCCATAAAACATAGCAGGCAGGGCCGGAGAGATGGCTCAGTGGGTAGAGATGCTTGCCACCAATTCAGATGTAGGCCTGTCTCTCCCTTGAGCAAAGGCTCTATTGCTCTCTTCCATTTGGAGGCATGGTCCTTTCTATCTTCACACCTGTGCGTGCGTGCGTGCGTGCGTGCGTGCGTGCGTGCGTGCGTGCGTGCGTGTGTGTGTGTGTGTGTGTGTGTGTGTGTGTGTGTGTGTGTTCTGAAACAGCCTCTATGCTGAAGAAGAACATCAACTCTAAGGCCTGGGCCTGGGGCTCGTGTGGCAGAGCACTTCAGCTTCATACACCAGGCCTGGTGGTACATGAATGTGCTCCCAGCACTCAGGAGGTGGAGGCGGGAGGGTCAGGAGTCAAAGGTCAGCCTTGGCAAATAGCAAGTTTGAGACCAGCGTAGAATACAGAAGACCCCTGTTTCAAAACAACAACCATTCAAATCCAAGTACACTGTCTGAGCCTGAGGATGGGTTCCTAGACCTGAAGTCAGGAAGCAGCCACAGCCTCTGTCTGGTACAAGCCTCAGTTCTTGTTAAGAGGTGACAGGTAAAAACACATGATTTTTTTTTCATCTATTTTTTAAATTTATGTAGCTGGTTAATTATTTCTGAGATAAAGTTTGTAGCCCAGGCTGGCCTGGTACTATATAGGAGGGGATGACTGAGCTGCTTCTGCTTCTTCTTTTCTTTTGTTTTTCAAGGCAAGATTTCTCTGTGTAACAGCTCTAGCTGTCCTGGAACATGCTCTATAGACCAGGCTGGTCTCAAACTCACAGATATCCACCTGCCTCTGCCTCCCCAGTGCTGGGAGTAAAGGGGCGTGTCACCACAGCCTGGTGACTTTGAATCTACCTCCTAGTGGACTTCTAATCCACTTCATTTTATGTTCTGTTTTGTTTTTTGACAGAGTATCTCTGCATAGCCCTGGCTGTCCTGGAGCTCACTATTTAGACCAGGCTGGCCTCAAACTCATGGAAATCAGCCTGCCTCCGCCTCCCCAAATGCTGGGATTAAAGACGTGTGCCACCACTGCTGGTGACTTTGAACTTCTGATCCACCTCCTAGTGCTGGGATTACGGGACTAAACCACTAACTTGGTTTACATGGTGCTGGGGATTGAACGTGAGGCTTTGGCATGCTAGGCAAGCACTCTTCCAAGTCATCCACACCCTCAGGCCCCGTATGTGACTTTTTTGGAGAACAGGACTTACTGTTTCATGAAGTGAATTCGGGCTTTCCTTCTAAGGCCTGCAAGAGCAGAGCAGAGAAAGGCAAGTTAGCACTGGATGGTTGATCACTGGCACCAAGCCTCAGAGACAGAGGGGAAGACAACAGGGTTAGCCAACACCCACAACTTCATCTGGGGTGCTAGGGTGGGCCCCCAATTCTTCACATTTCACACTTATCGTTTGCTTATATAGGTTTAAAATAGTTAAAATTATCCATTCATTCATCCATTCCCACATTTTTAACAGCCTTCACACATGCTACTAGATCCTAATACTACTATATCCATATCACATGTGTGGAAACTGTGGCACAGGGCATTCAAATTGTCAAATAACTTGCCTAAAGTCACATAGCTAGTTCCAGAGTTTTAAGGAGAGGGGAGGGGGAGGGGGGCATGGGCAATGACAGCACAGTGGTGGGACACAAGGCCTTAGGTTCAAATTTCAATAGCACAAACAAATATCATTGCCTTTCACAGCAGGCCAGGCTCCAGAGGTCAGAAGGCATCCAAAGCAGTGTGCACATGCACTCCTACTGGGAGGGAGCAGGGAAAGAGAACTACACTCTGTTTACGTCCACAGAACGTTTTTGTTTTTGAAACAGGATCTTAGGTGACCCAGGTTGGCCTCAAACCTCAGATTCACTATGTAGCCAAGGCTGGCCTGGACTCCTGATGTTTCTTCCTTTACCTCCCAGGCACTGTGATAGAGAGCATCCAGCATGTCCTGGCTTCAAGTCCCTGCATTCCCTCAAAGTCCCTCAAAGACAGAAAGAGCCACTTGCAGAACCATAAGGTTTGTTGGGCGAATTTGCCATCTGCTCTGCTGCCCTCTGGAAGACAGTATGCCTAGGTAGACTTAAGGTAGCAAAATGGGGCCCACAACGTCCTGTAAGCATCGACTCACAGTGAAGGTGGACGGCCACACCCAGGGACACCAGCAGAACCAGGAGGGAGGCCACCAGCAGGCTGAGGGTAATGAGGCCACAGGTCAGGCCTGAAAAAGACACACATGACACATGAGATGCATTCAACATTGATTCAGACACAGGCAGGGAGCAGCCCCTCCTCCCAGAGTATGTCACTGGTTGGCTTGTTATTGTTTGTTTTTGACACAGGGTCTCACTATATGACCCTCTGGCTGGCCTGGAACTCACAGAGATCTATCTGACTCCCCTTCTGGGAGGTAGCCCCACTGGTTATATTTTTATCATGCTTCCTTCTGGTTGATTTTAAAATTCACTTTAAAATATCACCGAGGTAATTTTATATAAAAATGTCATGTTACATCTCTATTTTTAAAACGTTAATAAAACTCAGGCACTGTTTATGTTCAGAGGAAGTAGACACATCTCATGCTTACTAATAAAATTTTACTATTCATTTAAAAACAAAACCTGTATTTGAATTTCATAAAAAAGTAGACTTCTATATTTTCATTGTACCTTACTCCTGGTTAGAATAGTCACAGATCAACACTGATAATTTCGAAGTCTTACCCTTTGCATCTAAGCAGTTTTCACAGGCATGTGCAATTTTCATTGTTCATATACATGCATGTGAGTGGGCATATGGGGTGTGTATGCACATGTGAGTGGGTGTGGGGACCAGAGGACGATGGCAGGTGTCCTGCCCTGTCATTTTCTACCTCCTTCCCTTGAGATAATCTCTCATTAAACCTGGCACTAGACTGGGGGCCAGCAAGCCCCAGAGGGTCTCCTGTCTCTACCTCCCCCAGTGCTGGGGTTAGAGGTGTCTGTCACCATGCCCAGCTTTTTATGTGGGTGCTCATGATTTAAATATAGAGCCTGATGCTTTCACAGCAAACACTCTACCCTAAAAAGTCATCTCCCTGGCCGCTGTCTTTGCATTTTAATTTTAAAGATAAGGTTTCCTGTATCCCAGACTGGTCTCTAATTCACTGTGGCCAAGGATGATCTTGAACTTCTGTTTCTCCTGTCTCCATCTCTAGAGTGCTGGGATCACACTTGTGGGCCACTATAGCCACTTATGCCAGGAACCCAGGGCTTTGTGCATGTTGGGCAAACACTACCAACTGAGCTACATTCTTGGCCCCTTAGTTTTCTCCTTTTAGCACAGTGAGTTGTACTGTGTTCTTTTTTTTTTTTTTTTCTGCGCATGCATTCCTCCCCATCCGTCAATCATGCCAGCATATTCTTTTCCTCAGTGGAGTCACAGGTGGCCCTGTGGATGCATCATCATTTATTTAGCCACCTGCGGGAATCTTAGCTGTTTCCTGTGTTTTACTTTTATAAACAGCCCTACAGAGAACATTCTGGCACCTTTCTGTATGCAGGTGCCTTCCTGAGGCAGAAGCTGAAAATGGGAACAACTAAACCACACACTTTGTCCATTTTGGTTGTAGTAGACTGCCAGGTGCCTTCGTTTCACTCGCACCCAACGGGGCACCTTACCGGCCCCTGTTAATGGGCCTGCATGTTAGTGTGTCTGCATGGGAGAGAGAGAGATTGATTGATCATACTTCAGTCCCGATTCTGGGTGGGCTTTAGTCTATTTGTTTGCACTAGCCACTTGCCTGCCTGATTGTTCTTCTGTGATCTGTTCATTTGTCTAGTTTTTTTTTTTTTTAATGCTGTTTAAGCTGCAGGGCTTCTATCTTTAATGTTCTAGATCCTTCTTCAATACTCTGGCCTCAGATTAGCCCCGTAGTGGATCTCCCTAAAGGGCTGAGGTGCAGAGCCAAGCCCATGAGTGAAAGGACAGAGTGCAGGTTTGGGCTCTTGGTTGAGAAGTCTGGAAAGCCCTCTGCGTGTGAGGGAGGAAAAGAATTCAGCTAGGTGCACTCAGTGCACCAGGGACAGTGCTAACTGAACGCTTTTGAGCAGGGAAGACACGGAGTTGTTTTATCATTCCCTCTTACTTTGTAGTTCTGAGAAACTGAGGCCTGGGCTGGGGATCTAGCTCAGGGGGCAGAGTGCTGATGGAGACACTTGCATAGCTTGGCAAATTGACTTTGGCTCATCCAGTTGGTGAGTCTCAAGCTAATGGCATGCATGTTCTCAGTCCCTGTTGTCACAGGTAGTGGACTAGTTGCAGAGCAGCAGAGGAGGAGGGGCGGGCACTGCCGAGGGACCACACTGAAATGGAAACCAGAGATGCTGTCATGGTTGGATTTCTGCCTCTCTCAATAAAAGGTCTCTCTCTCCTTTCTTACTTCCTCCTTCCTTTCCCTCCCTCTCACTCTTCTCCTTTGCCCTCTCTGTCCCTCCCCTCTTCCCATGTAGTTGAGGATAACTTTGAACTCCTAATCCTTTTGCTGCTACCTTCTGACTGCTGGGATTACACTTGTGTGCCACCACACATGGGCTTTTTCCTTTCTTTTTTAATCAGGGCTTTTCTACATAGCTCAGGCTGACCTTGAACTTGTGATCTTGCCTCAGCCTCCTGAGTTTTAGGATTATAGTCATGGACTGCCGTATCCAGCCAGTACTTAATTCTTTTTTAAAATTTACATTTATTTATTGACTGAGTATATGGTGTGGGCATTTGAGTGCCATGGTCCACACACGTGGAAGTTAAAGGGCAGCCTGCAGAAGTCAGTTTTCTCTTTGTACTGTGTGGGTACTGAACACAATCAGGCTTGGCAGCAAGGGCGGCTACTTCTGAGCCATCTGGTGAGCCCGGTACTTCATTCTCTGTGGTCCTTGTATTGCGTGCACCTTGTTTTGTTAGCCGATGCATTAGTTGAGGAACATTTCTGACTATGATGAGTTGTGCTGCTTCGAGCACCTGTGCTCAGGGTCTAGGTGGCTCTATTTTCCTGAATGTCTCATTCTGTGATGAGTTGTGAGGGTGACTTGTGTCCCTTTTGTTGACACCAGCTTGAGGCTAGAGAAATAGGCTACAAAACAAAGGAGAAAGGAAGGGGAGAGGGAAAGCAAGAAAAGAGGGAGAAGGAAAGTGGGGAGCTGCCCTTTTTTTCTGTGAGTGCAGCGATGGAAAACTTACCCTTCTGGGCCTTTGGGTTGGGGACTGGGCACTGTTTCTTCTTGATGACAGTCTTCTTGGTGGTCTGGGCGGTTGTAGAAAGGGCATCAACTACAGAAAGAAGCAAGACCCATATGTCAGGCAGGTAGGCAGCAAGACTCACGGGCAGACTGTGTGCCTTCCTTCCAGCCACTGATGGCCTCATGATTGCTCTCTTGGCTGCCACAGGACTTCAGGTTACAGAACCCAAGAATTCAGATCTGATTCCCAGTTCTCAGATAAATGTAGCGCCTATGGGTAGGAATAGCCTGGTGTCCTGGAGAGAAGCTATGGAGCCACCAAACATGAGCAGAGCCTTGTGCCATATTTAGCAACTGTGAAGCCTGGGTTGTTGTCTGTTCCTCAACTTCCCATTTGCTATAAAGATGACTTCTGCCAGGCGGTGGTGGCGCATGCCTTTAAATACCAGTACTTGAGAGGCAGAGGCAGGCGGATCTCTCTGAGTTTGAGGCCAGCCTGGTCTACAGAATGAGTTCCAGGATAGCCAAGGCTAAACAGAGAAACCCTGACTAGAAAAATAACAACAACCAAAAAAGAAAACAAACAAACAAAAACCCAAAACCAAAAACTAACCAACAAAAAGGATGGTGATGTCTTGTTGTGAGAATCAAGGGAGAGGCATACCTAGCAAGCATGCAATAGGCATGACTATGCTTGGCAGAAGACCTGGGATTGAGGTTGTTGGTCCAGCCAGGCATGGTGGCACACACCTTTAATTCCAACACTTGAGAGACAGAGGCAGGTGGATCTCTGTGAGTCCAAGGAGGCTCACCCAGTCTACATGAGTATTAGGACAGCCAGGGCTATGTAGAAAGACCCTGTCGCAACAAAACAAAACAAAACAAAACAAAACACAGAAGACCCCTTGGTCCTTTGGCATGACCATTCTCTGACCTTCCTTGCCAGTCCCTAAGCCAGTGAAAAGGAGATGGTTGTCCCTCCCTACATGAACACTACCAGTTTGGAGAGGAGAACAAATGACAGGCTGGGACTCCAGACCCTTCTCCTTTCGTGGATGGCCCATACTCTCCTCAGTTTTGATTCAGGGTCTCACACTGAGGGTTTGGGAGAGGGATAGGAGAGGACAGTGGGACTGATGCACTGAGCAGGGAGACCACGAGGTTCTGAGGTAACGACTACCAGACCATCTACCCTTAGCCTTGCTAAATGGATCTCATGCATTCTACTTTCAGCAAAGTAGTAGGAGATGGGCTAGGAAAACCTCGAACATTTCCCGTACCACCTCTGACAAAACATTAACCACATTAGGTCACCACAGGCTTTTGACCATTGGTGCCAAGGAGCTGTTGTGAAGTAACAGCTAATAGCAGTGACAAGCTCCAAGAGTCTGGACCTGCTGGGTGTTGAGTCTTTTAGAGCTCATGACTGCTAAACTGAGTCCATTAGCCTCAAAAAATCAGGAATCTCTCAGCTACTCGGTGGCGAGCATGGGAGGGAGCTGTAGCCTCTGGGGCCTTGGCTGGCACAGTAGTAGCCTGAATCTGATGGGAGGGGATGGGGAAAAGAGGAGGTTGCTCTGTTTTAGTTTCATCTTGTTCTGAGTCAGGTCACCTCAGTCCTCCTGAATTCGACCTCGACCTCTCCCTCTCCGTCTTTTTTTTTTTTTTTTTAAGAGGGACAGTTCCTTGGAACCCATAGTGTGCTTAAGGGCCTGAACAAGGTCTGTTTCTCCCCAACACTCTCTTTATTACTCAAGCTTCTCCTCCAAAACATTTGGACCCTCCAGCCCAGCAGGTAGGCTCAAGACTTTGGGTGTCCTTGTCACTGGGAAGACTGACTGCGGATCCTGGTCTGCTGGGCAGTACACAGGACTTGGAAACATGGAAGCAGGACAGGTAGAGATGGAAAATCACCTGTTCTTATTTCACTTCCACCCTTCTCAGACCCTGAAGCATTGGGGAGACATGAAGCTCACAGAAAAAAAAGATAAAAAAGCAAACAGCACCCGACCTTAACCCACACCCACACCACCCTGTAGGACCAGACACTAGAGAGGCTGTGGAGACCTCGCTCTGTTTTTGCTGTCCTTGTTGTTTTTCATTATAATTCTGGCCTCATCCCCAACTGTCTCTGTACCTCCTTAGACTGAGTGGCCTAACTTCTGGAGGTGACTGGGGTGCCTTTGTGACTTTCAGCCTCCAGGTGAGTGGGAAGCAAGATGGTGAGAAGCCCAGTCCTGGGTTGAGCTGGAGAAAGAACTACAGCCAAACGTTGGCTCGAGAGAATCTATGATGATTGCTTTCCACCCCAAGAGATGAATCCTTACTGTTCAGTGTGGCTAGTCTGAACAGAGATATGCTATACATATAAAATACATATCAAATGCCATGTATGAAAAATAGGCTACTTATTGAAATTTTGATAGTTTCGATAAATTGGGTTCAATAAAATGCACTGAGAAAAAATTCATTTCACTTATTTCTTCTTACTTAGATGATTCTTAGAAAACTGGGAAAACTTGTCTATGGTTTGCAAGGTACTTCTACATGACCATTTAATTAATGAAACAGCAGCTTCCAAGAACTAAAGGTGGGCCAGCAACGGCCTTGTACAGTAGGGGAACTGAGGCTGTGGGAGGGGAAGGCATGTGACGGATTAGTAACCTGGCTAGGCCTGGGGTTCAGTTTCTTTATCCCCTGGAACCCCAAGTGTGCATCTGAGCCATAGAACCCCACAAAGGATGCTGAGGACAACTGCTTGTCTGCTGCCTCAGAAATGCCTTCTCTGTGTGTGCCCAGGCAGTAGGAGTTCGTATGTAAACTCAGGGTTCCTGAGATCGCTGTCCAGGCAGGGACACTGATGTGTCTGCATCAGAATCACAAGCCAAGCGCCCACAGTTAACTGACCCATCTATTTCCACTTCGTCTGCTTCGAATCCCAAGTGGGAGTGGAGTCTACCATCTGCTGGCAGCATTGAGGGACACAGCCACATGCAACCCTCAAAGGTGCTTGGCCTGGGGAACTCTCAGTATGCATTTTCTATTAGTCTTTGAGGTGGTGTGACTATCATGGCTGCAGAGTGAGGCTCACTGAGAGCAGGCAGCCCCGGTGCCCGTGTGTGTGTGTGTGTGTGTGTGTGTGTGTGTGTGTGTGTGTGT